AATTTGCAGCATTCCATGCTCTTCTACTTATTTTCCTCCGTAGGTCACTCTCATCTTTTAAGCCAATATTATATTTACATGTTTTATTTTCTGCACATGAGCATTAAGACAGACCTCCCCTGAGCATGAAGTTCCTCTGCATCTGATACATATCCCAAAACCAGAGCTGGTAAAGTCCCTGCACATATCCCAGAGACACTCAGTCTAAGTATAAACTGTATACATGCATCTGTGCCAGGCCCGCTACCAACTCACTACCCAGATTCCTTCCTCCTCCTCCATCAGGGGACCGCATGAAGCCTGCGTTCCCTATCTTGTTCTAAAACCACTGAGTTCTTCAGTTTCATCCTGGGAAGAGGCATCTCAATAGAGACAAATATACCTCCATCAGATTGCCTACAGGCAAGTTTGTAGAGCACTTTTTTGTTTAATGATTGATATTGGAGAACCCAGTCCATTGTGGGTGGTGCCATCTTTGGGCAGGTGGCCCTGGGCTGTCTAAGAAAACATGCTGAGCAAGCCAGTAAGCAATGTTCATCAGTGGCATCTGCTCCATTGGTGTAGTCTGTCTCCAAGTTTTTGTTGTGACAGTCCTATGACCCTGTTGGTTTTGGAAGGACTGTGGATAGAGTTTGGAACATTGGGCTGGGAGAAATAATGGGCTGATAGTGGAGTAAGACAGGAATGCTGAAAGAGGTGCACACGATGGAAGCCTAGCTTTTGAAGTTTCAGAAAGACGCAAAGATCATCGGGGCCATTCATGTGATATTCTGAATTAACAATCTTTGGTTCTGTTCATCTTGGACTGAAGAATCAGTTGTTGGTAAGAGACCAGAACCACTGAAGTGAAACTTTTGCTTCACTGGGACAACAGATGCTGTTCAGCTGGAACTGGGGAATTAGTGGTGATTAAGAAGACGCCAGCACCAATGAGGATCTTTAAGTCTGGGAGTATCTCCTTGGGGTCAGTTCACAGAAGGAACCAAGGCTGCATCTCAGACTGACAACAATCTTTGTAACATGAGTCACCCAAGTGGTACTGGTTATGAAGGCATGAAAGGGTCATAGTGAGCAGCTGAGGCTTGGCTCTGTGGCCCTCAAGAAAGGCCAGGAAAGGTCATTGGTGAAGGTGAAGTCTCGGTTACAGTGGAAGTCCAGGACTGAAGTGGTCATGGAGAGAAAATGAGGATTGACACCATGTGGGAGAGTCACAGGCCCTGAAGAGAGCCCAGGAGAAGCTACTGGTGGAAGTTTAATCCATCTGCAGCAGAAGACTCCAGCATTTCAAACTGACAGTACCAGGGCTGGAGAGATGGCTCATCTGTTAAGAGCACAGGGGTGTTAAGAGGATCTGCAGAGGATGGAAAGGGAGAAGGGGCTCAATGGAGGAGTCCAGAATGGATGGTCCTGAATGAAGCCCAGATATTGAACAATGAACTATTTACACTATTGGAGTTTAGTTTTGCTCGGTTTGGTTGTTACTATGCCCTGGCCATTCCTTCTTGGAGTAGAGGGCATTTTGTCCTTCTGTCTGTTTTACAAGTCCACAGTTAGGGGACTTCAGAATTTTAGAGACTTTGGATATTCTGGAGATAATATGGATGGTTTGGAGTAACTTTGAATGTTGAAAGTTGAACTTTAAAGACTGGAATTTTGGGGGCTGGAGAGATGGCTTAGCGGTTAAGAGCACTGACTGTTCTTCCAGAGGTCCTGAGTTCAATTCCCGGCAACCACATGGTGGCTCACAACCACCTTGAATGAGATCTTGTGCCCTCTGCTGGCATGTAGGCAGAAGACAGTATACTTGATAAATAAATAAAATCTTTAAAAAAAAAAAAAAGGACTGAAACTTTTAAAGTTTGAAGTATGTCTTATACTGTGATACTGATATTAATGTGACATCTTGGGAACAACAAGAAAGGAAAGGTTATGGTTTAACAGGGATGTGTTTGTGTGCATTGGGTCAAAAAGGAGTCATTGTGCTGGCTAGTTTTATGTCAACTTGACACAAAGGAGTAATTGTGAAAGGGGGCGGGGAATCTCAGTTAATAAAATGCCCCATCAGGTTGGTCTGTGGGCAAGCCTGTGGTACATTTTCTCAACTTCTCAGATACCCTGCAAGAACTCTGAGAGATTACTGTATCAAGGTGGGAAGTTACAATAAAGACCCCAGAACATTGGAAATGTCAAGACTATGGACTATGTGCCAAAGAAAGCTGCAGGCACCAAGTGGAATCTGCACAAGAGAGAAGCCACATATGCTGTTGGGGCAGAGCATGAGGGGTGGTCCTACTGAAGTCACTGGGGCCTAGGTGATTCTATAATGAGGCTCAGAAGTTCATAGGAGCAGAATTTCTTTGGTCCATCCAGTGTGAGTCTTGCTCTGTTCCTAACTTTTTCTTGCTATGCCCCTACATCTTCCTTTTGGAAAGGAAATTATTTGTTCTGTGTTATTGTGTATTGTATGTTCCTCAGTTGTTTATTATTCTATTATAGTATGTGTGTGTGTGCACATGCATGCACGATGGGGAGGGTGGGACATGTGCCACAACATACACGTGAATGTCAGAGCACAACTTTGTGGAGTTGGACCACTGCTTCCATCTTTGCAGATTCCAGGGATCAAACTCAGTCCCCAGACTTTTGAAGCCAGCACTTTTACCTGAAAATGGGTCTCAATGACCCATTTTCTTTCTTTCTTTTTGTTTTTAGTGTTTTTATATGAGCTCATAGTTTTAAAAAACTATCATGAGTTTTAGAAGACAGTGTAAGGACTACTGGCTATGGAGTAGATCCGGTGTGATGGCACTGGGTAGGTAGAAGTAGAAGAATCAGAAGTTCAAAATCACCCTTAACTTCATATTGAGTTTGAGGCAAACCCAAGATATATATGTGAGAACTTGACCAGACTGTCTCAAAAATTTTTTATTTAGAACTACAGGAATTTTTATAGGATGCATTTTTCACTCTGCAAACTGATGGGGGATGTCTTTCTGTATGCTGTGAATACGTTTCTCTCATTGGTTGATGAATAAAACTGTTTCAGCCAATGAAGAGGCAGGATTTAGCCAGGTGGGAAATCTAAACAGGGATAGAGAAAGGTAGTAGGCAGAGTTGAGGAGATGCTATATAGCTACTGGGAAGGTAGGACGCCCAGGCATTCTCTGGTAAGCTAAGACCACATGGAGATACATAGATTAACAGAAATGGATTAATAGTTGAGAGAGAGCTAGACAATAAAAAGCCTGAGCCATCAGCTAAACAGTTTATAATTAATAGAAGCCTATATGTATTTATTGGGACTAAATGGCCAAGGGACCAGACGGGACAAAAACTTCCATCTACAGCAAACAGCTCCACTTCAGCACTAATTTTCTGAGTTTCTTTTCTAATTTCTGTGATAAGATACCCTGATAAATGCAATTTAAGGAAATGGTTTCTTTTGCCTCCCAGCTTGAAGGTACAGTTCATCACAGTAGGAAGTCACAGCAGCAGCAGGAGCTTAGTTTCTTCTCTCATTACTGTGACCACACACCTGTCAAGAAGCAACTTCAGGAAGGAAACAAATTATTCTGGCTTACAGTTACAGTTAAACAGATAAATAGCAGTGAAGTCTCCCAACAGCAAGAGACCAGCCAGTCCCATCTCATCCAAAATCATGAAGCAGAGAATGAACAGGAAATGGACTGTACTAAAAAAATATCAAGACTTGCCCTCCAGAAGCTTACTTCCTCCAGAGAGGCTCCACCTTCAAAAGGGTCCACAACTCTCCCTGTGCCACCTTATGGTGACCAAGTGAACACATGTGACTACAGGGGGATATTTCACTTTCAAACTATAACACAGCTGGTACACACTCCCAACACCAAATAGGCACCTGCCCATGCCCTCCCTGGGACAACAGACTGTATGTATCTCCTTAAGCTGTGAACTGAAATGAAACTGTCCTCCCTTGTAATGCTTCCTGTCAGGCTGATATTCACAGTAACAAGAAAAGTAACTAATATGCCACCTTAACTATTTCCTAGTGTACAGCTCAGTGGTGTTAAGAACAAGAGTGCTGCTGGTCAATCAATAATAACTCTTCTCGATGGGCACTGGTGATGTACACCTTTAATCACAGTGCTTGGGAGGCACAGGCAGGTGGATCTCTGAGGCCAATCTTGTCTACAGTGTAAGTTCCAGGACTGCCAGAGACCCTGTCTCAAAAAAATTAATAATAATAACAATAATAATAATAATGATAATAATAATAATAATAACAACTATACATTTCTAAAATGCTACTGACCTGGAAATTTTCTACTCTGATGTTGTGGACTATTCTTTTACACTGTGTGAAGACATGTCACTGTGAGTGGTTTAATAAGAAACTAAGCAGCCAATAGCTAGGCAGGATTTTGGAGTGAAAAAAAAAAAAAAAAAAAAAAAAAAAAACAGTGAGAAGAAGGCGGAGTCACCAGCCAGACAAAGGAAACAGGAAAACAGCATGGGCAGTACAGAGTAAAGGTAATACAGCCACAAGGCAGAAAGCAAATTGATAGAAATGAGTTAATTTAAATTATAAGAGCTAGTTAGAAACAAGTCTAAGCTACTGGCAGAGCTTTCATAATTAATAAGAAGCCTCCCTGTGGTTATTTGGGAGCTAGATAGTGGGACAGAAAAATCAACTACACTCTGGGCCATTCCTCTCTTGCTCTACTCTAGGGGGTAACCATTAGTATACTTTCCATCTGTCCATAAATTTGAATTGCTCTGAGGGCCTCATCATAGAATCACACAGTAGTGTCCTTTCAGGACAGGTTTATGTCCTCAAGATTCATCTCTGTTGTGTCAAAACTGCCTTCTTTTTAAAGGCTGACTGATATGCAGCCTTAAAAAGAGCACATTTTGTCATCTGCTCAAGTTTGGATCTAGAATATCCTTCAAAGGGTCACAGCTTGTACCATGGTTGGAAGGTGGCAGATCCTGTAACACAGAGGGCACGTGGATAGTCTTACGTCATTCTGGTCATGCACGTGAAGGAGCTGTGGAACTCTGGTCCTTCCTTTTTCCATCTTTCTATTCCAGGCTCCTGCTTGAGGTAAGTGAAATGAAACTTGCAAAATTATGAGTCAAAGTAATCTTTTTCTTATTACACCAGCACAGCTCCTTGTTACAGTAACAGAAAACCCACTAGCACACCACCATCAGTTCATGGACTGAGTCACTCCCGTCTGTGGACTCCGGGAATAAGGCTTTTGCAAACAAAAGTGCAAAAATCTCTTGAGTCCCTGCTTTTACTTCCTTTAGGTATGGCTAGAATATCTGAGGTCTTTGCATAATCCAAGAAGTAGAACTGCTGGCTCAAATGGTAATTCTATATTTAGCACTTTGAGGAACAAACATGCTATTTTCCAAAGAGGCTGCATCATTTTACACCCCCACTAGCAAAACATGAGTTTTAAATTCTCTAATTCCTGGCCAATACTTGTTTTACATTTCTTGAGCATATAAGGTAGAAATTTATTGCAGTCCTTGATTTCCAAAAGGGAAATTTTAAAAGATCAACCAGTCATTGCTGGTCTACAGCATCTGCATAGATTTTAGTAACGAATAAAACACCCTCAGCCAGGTCTGAGTAGCCACCTTCCCTGAGCTTGGTCTCCAGACAGCCCTGGTCCCTCTTTATCAGTATCCCGGGTGTACAGTCTCTCAGTGACAACCAGCCTATGCCCCTCCTCTCACTGGCTATCACTATGAAGCTATGGATACCAAGAATTTGTTCTTATCAGACTCAAAACAGAACTGGAGCTGGCTGATGCCTACCTGCTTGAGGTAAGTGCTTTCTCAAGTCCCACTGGAGATTCCTCCTCTAACTCTGGCAATACAACTTCCCCTCTTTTCCTAATCACTTACGCTTTTATGAGACAGGTCTTGCTACACAGTCCAGTCTAGCCTTGAACCATGTAGCCCCGGCTGAACTATGTTCAGCCTCCTGAACCATAAGTCTGTCCTAAGTAATAGGATTACAAGCAGGTACCACCATACTCAGTCAATACAGTTTGTGTTCAACATTCTTTAAGAACCCCTCAATTCAGAGATGGATTCTCCAGACAGAACACTGACAGCAGTGACCTGACATCAACAACAGCCCAAGTTTCCAAGACCAATGAACCCTATACTATGTGTAAATTTCTCCCTTTCTGCCTTAACACCCCCACCCTACTGCCTCAAATCTCCTTGAATACAGAGTTTACTATGGCATGCCTAGTCCGGTTACAGTGCTCTTAAACATTCTGAAATAGTATTATTTTTGGAGAATGTCTAGTTGCTATTTAGACAGTCTTATAGTTCAGACCTTAAATGTCCACCAAAGGACCACATGCTAAAAGTTTGGTTACTAGCTCATGGTGCAACTGGGAGAAAACAAAACCTTTACAAGGGGCTTAGTGAGCCAGGCAGTGGTGGCACACACCTTTAATCCCAGCACTCAGGAGGCAGAGGCAGGTGGATCTCAGTGAGTTCCAGGACAGCCAGGACTATTACACAGTGAAACCCTATCTCAAAAAAGGGGGGGGGGGAGGAGCTTAGTGAAAGGAAGTTGGATTATCTGGTACATACTTCAGGGAGACTGTGGGACTCTTCTTCCTCTCAGTTTCCCAGCTGCCTAAAGGGAAGGGGCTTCATTCAGCAAGGTCCAACACCTCTCATATCACAGGCCCAAAGCAACAAACAGAAACTACGAAGATATGAGTTAAAATGAAGCTCTCCTCTTTTTTAAAGTTGTTTATCTCAGCTATTTCCACAGCAGCAAAAGGCTACCAAAGATCGGTATGATCCCTGCCTTCCTACCTGCAGGTTACCTAGTCCTCTGCAGGCAACCCAACTTCCATGTTGCTCTAACTCTGGACATTTGGAGCAGCTAGTTATTCACATACAATGAATCAAACAGGTCTTTTAAAGAATACATCTGCAGAACTAGGGATGCAGCTCAGCTGAAAGAGAGCTTGCCTAGCATGCATAAAGCCTCAGGTTTGATACCCCAACACTACATAAACATGGCATAGCAACCCATTCTTGTCATCCTAGCATTTGGAAAATGGAGGCAGGAGGATCAGAAGTTCAAAGTCACCCTCAGCTACCAGGTGAAGGCCAGCCTGGGATGCATGATAACCTGTCTCAAAAACAAAATGTCCATACTGAACATGTATGAACTTTTTCCTTGTCATTATTCCCTTAGACAATAAAGTGTAACAACTATTTACACAATATTTACTTTGAGTTGTTTTATAAGTCATTAACAGATTATTGGAAGTTAAATTATAAATATAGGATGTCATAAGTCATATGCAAATACCATACCACGTAAAGCAAGGGATTTGAGTATATGCAATTTGGGTCATTTCTGGGTTCCGAACAAATGTCCTGTGAAATATACTATGAGTGAGAGCCCTTACCCCATCCCACTTACATGTCACTCAAAGGCACAAAAAAGAAGCTTGGTAGTTGAATCCTGAGACTGTGCTTCGGAGGGCACTCTCCAGCTCTCCAGGAGTTTACTGGGCCCATTCATTAAGAAGATTCTTTAAAGGTGAAACTCACAGTCAGTAGCTCCCCAAACATCTCCATTGAAGAACTACAATTAGAATTTAGCTTCCCTGGAGCTTCGACTTCCTAGAAATTATTATAAAGGTATAATCTTCTGAAGAAACAAAGTTAATTATAGTATAAGAAACCATAAAGGGTTAGTCTCCTTTAGGGAAAGAACTTGGCCTTTATGTATCAGTATCACCTCTTTGTCTCTCCTCTTCCATTTCAGTTATTTGATAGTTATAAGCTATGTCCATCATTAAATAGATATAGTAAATGATTATGGGGGGGGTTGGTTTTTACTTTATTTTATGGTGGCTTGGAGGCTCACTTTGTCACCAGGCTGGGATTACAGGTGAATGCCATCATATCTTCCCTGAGAATAGATTTTAAAACGGTTGTAGCTTCAGTATCTATAATAGTATATAGCATAAGAGCTTCAAAAAACCATGTTAAACAAAGAAGATTTACTAAAGCAAAACTGTCTGCCTTTTGCTACCACAAGTAAAGTAATCTTAACCAACAGCAGTTGTTGGAAAGTGAGGAAATACAAAACTAATGAATATTACATTTCCACTTTATTAATTTAAAGGCATACTATGGAATGTGTGATAACACACACCTGTAATCCCAGATACTCAGGATGTTGAGGCAGGAAGATCATGAGTTTGATAGGGCTTGAACCACACAGTGAGAGACTATTTTCTAAAGTATACACATACAAAACCATACATAGTTTGTAGGTATAAATCAAAACATCATGTTTTTGATTTTTTAAAAATATGGTGCTTAGGATTAGACCCAGGACTTCAAAAGCAATTTTAGTTTTGTTTTGTTTTGTTTTGTTTAGCAGTACCCTGGAACACAAAAACTGAGCTGAAACAATTTATTTACTTTTGCTAATCAAATGGTTTATCTTTTTTTTTTCAGCAGGAAGATTCCTTTATGGTGGTGAATAGATGACACAGTTCTAGAGTAGGGCCTTGGGATGCAGAAAGGAATAGGTCTAAGAAGGACCAATCCATTCTAGGACTCACATCAAGCAGATACACATCCCAGAAAATGACTGCCCATATACCTCCCCAAGGCTCCTCCCACCCATCAGTTCAACCAATAACGATGCTGCTTTAATTCTTCTTTTTTGGCCACTGAAGATAAACTCCACTGGTTTATCTTATTAATGTGATTTTTTTCTAACTGAAGTCTGCACTCAGATTTCTTTTGTTTTCCTCTTATGTCTTATATTTGATGGTATGTCTTCTGATTCCTTCTGGCTATGAGAGTTCCTCAGGTTTCATTGCCTTAATTACAAGCCCAGTCAGGTATTTTATATGGTGTTCCTCAGCTGAGGTTTGTGTGGTTTGTGTGATGTTTCTCTCAGGGTTAACCTGGAAGTTGTGGGATTAGCAAGACTACCTCACAGGTAAAGCACCCATTCTCACAATCCTATCAAGGGCACATGTGTTTTTTCCATTTTAGTCACAACAAACAACTTTGCCCAATTATGATGGCTGTACAATTTGACAGACCCTAAGTGTAGTTGCCAAGTGTATCAGATGCTTGTACATTAGAGACACATCTGCATGCTTCAGAAATCACACTTGGTTTGATTTAGGCTTTATATTGGGATTGCAATGCTTTCACTGTGAAATTAATTTCTTTAAATAAAGATTGCTGGTTCTGTACTTTCACTCAAGGTTGTCAGTTCTTTGTCTCTTTTCTGAAGGTCCTTGGCTCCCTAGCCATGTCAAAGTTTCAACTGTCTTCTGGAATCAGAGCTATTAAGTGTATTTACTTCCCATATGCTCGAAGCCAGGTCCTTACCCCTACAGTTCTTGTGGTTGGGACTCCAACCACAAGCCTTTCTCTGTCTCTCTATAAGCCATGTTTACTTTCCCCTTCAAAGTATTCTGCCTCTGGCGTTCAGTGCCTGTCACAGACCTCTAAACACAAATGGCATGCATGACATGGACAAAGAAAGAAGGGCTCTGTGCCTCATCCCACTTTCTGTATCACTCACTAAGGAGTGGTATCTGGTGACCTGTCGACCCAGGCCAAGCTCAGCGGGCCCATTTGCATGCCTGTTTTGTTTTCTTCATGCTTCAGATGGTTGAAATGTCAACCAGAGGTAACTCAACTAAGAACCCCTTGGCCAAAGCCGCTGGCAAGAACAGACCTTGCACTAAAGGTGAGAGTGGGCACTTCAGTGGCTGCCTGCACACCCTGCGGGCCCACCACACAACCTTAGCTCTTCACACCACTAAGTGCTCTCCCAAGAGCACCCCAGGCCATTTCACAGCAGGACAGGCCTGGCTCCACCCACCTCTGGATTTTATGTTGAGGAAGCCCTGCCTGACAGTAGGTGAGTGCCGGCCTCCGGGCAGCAGGGCTGCAAGCCGAGCACCTGTCCCGATGCTCCCCAGCAGGGTGGCGGTGAAGGACTGGACCGGTAAAGGAATGGGGCAATAAGTCCTGTGAAAGGCTCCTGAAAGAGTGAAGAAGGCCTCTCGGGCTACTGAGAAGAGAGAGAGACCGCGCGGGATGCAGCGATGATGCCTGCGGGGCAGCTAGAAGAGCCCGCCCGGGCAACGCTCACCGGCTCCCGCAGCAGCGTAGCGCGGACCCCGGCCCGGCCTCAGCCCGCCCTACCTCGCCTTTTAGCGCGTACAATGCCCTTCTTCTGCAGCACGAACGTGGACCCGTTCACTAGG